AGTATGATCTCACTGACAATTTTTAGAAATAATAGAGGTCATAGTGTTTGTGCACTGCTTACACCTGCTAGGTATGGTGGAGAATTTCAGGATTTCAGACATCATGAGTGTGAGTTTTTTGGTGCCAGATTAAACAGATTAATCTGGGTTCCTTCCTCCCTCAGGAGCGTAGAATTGCACAGCAGAGGGAGGTGCTGAGGAAAGAAAAGGAGATTGCAGAGAAGATCGCCGCCCGGGCGTACACCCAGCAGTACTTGGCCGGTCTTCTACCTGCTGTCTTTACCTCGCTGAGAAGGCACGGCTACTTTTACAACCCCGTGGAGAAAGGTCGGCCTACTTGACACACGAGGGTGTCGCTGCCCTCTGTTGCTAAAGCGTAATTTCCTTACATCTGTGTCTATTAATAGATGAAAAGGTAATTTTATCAAACTTTGCGGATGAATCATATTTGTGGTTTTGATTTACAGATATCGAGACTAATTTCTTCCCATGGCTGATGGACAAGGTGAACAACAGGGTGGAAAGGAGATACACGGCAAGAGAAATTCTTGACAGTAAGAGACATTGGTTATTTTATTTAATGACATCCCTTTTTTGAGATTTTTTGGGTTGATGTATGCAAACCTAAATTTGCTATATTTAACAAAAACTTTTGCATAGCTATGTTTAAGGTTTTTTTTTTCAGCTTATCATTTTCTGTAGTCCACTCATCATTGCTGTAGATTTTCTATAATTATGCTTTTATTTAGCATTAGTTTTTTTTTTATCACTTCAAAGTGCTTTATAAGTTCAAACCGACTCAAATAGAAAGCAGAGAAATGAAAAGAATGGGACGTGCCACTCAAATTGAAATCTATTTGAGGATTCTGTAACAGCACTGAGGGTGGAGGAAGTACACCTTGCAGGTGAAAAAAGGCTTTTTAAAAACTTTATTTTAGACCCAGGTTTTAAAGCCTTTAAACATTAGATTTGATTGATGACAATGTGTGCAGTTTTTAATGTTCTGGTGACTGATGAAATTAGTCATTTATAATAATTGGACAAATAATTGCCCGGAGGAAATAGAAGTTGAACAAAAAAATTCTAAAAAACTTGGTTCAGGAGGGTAGAGGTCTGCATTTACTTCTTGTAAACTTTTCCCCAGCATGCATTGTGTGACTACCATCTAGTGGTGCGTGATAAACATTACAGCTGTCACTGAAGTCAAACAGGACAGGGATGGGGATGCACCTGTGTGACTGAAACATTTCCATGTTTTTGTCTGTTTCAGCTATGATCTACGATGTAACCCAGAAGAGACTTGAGCGCTTCAACGAGGAAGAGACACAGCCAGAAAAGTCTGATTCATAGGGAGATTTATACACAAGTATTTACCACAAATAAAAGTTTCTTTTCATCAACTGGTTTTTGTTTACGGCTCCAAACCTAGGTTACCAACAGGGAAGGTAATAACTGCCCTCAGGTGGACAAACTATGCCATGTCAACATTCATACTTTGGTTGAAGGGTGGCTCTTCTTAACTTTTTAAGTTAAGTGTCTTTCATTGGCTGTTCACAAATGACTGATATGATAGATTGGTAAATAGCTAATATCAAATGATATTAGACAGGAGGCCAAGGTGAAGGTGGCAGAGCTGGAATTGAAGATGTTAAGATTTACATGAATAAGAGTTACATGAATGGGCAAGATTAGAAATCAGCATATCAAAGAGACAACTCATGTTGAGTGGTTTGGAGTCAAAGTAGAAAAGTGAGGCTGAGATGTTTTGGCCATATAGTAGTGGAGGAGGAACAGAGAAAGACCTCAGAGAAGATTCATGGATGTAGTGAAGGAGTACATGCAGAGGGTTGGTGTGACAGGATATGAGGAATAGGATGAGATAAAGGCAGATGAGCCTCTGTGGAGACCTCTAAAGGGAGCAGCACAAAAAAGCAAAGATGATGACATTGGCCTGTTTGATATATCAGTTGGGCTCCAATGATTAATAGTTCTGTGGGTCTTTTTTGCACTTATGAATTCGATGCAATAGTTGTCAATTATAGACCTATAAATAGAAACAACATGTTAAAACCTCAAGATAATAAAATTATTTAAAAAATGAAGTTCAGGTTTCCTCATTTTTCCCCCTTGAAGGCAAGCTTTTTCTTTCAGTTCTGCGGTACAATTGTTCATTTACTGCTTATCTGAAGAAAGTTCCTGTGTGCTACTGAGCTGTCAACATACCAATGAAAGAAAATCAGCCAAAATCTAATGTTCAAAGAGCAATCTTAAAAAGATTATCATCGGCAGAGCAGGCAGTGAAACAGGTTTTAAGGAACTCCAGATATTCAAGAGGAGCATTCAAAGTGCCTCCCTGTGTATTTATCCATTTGCATCTGGCATCCGACTGCAAACAGTTTATTCAGGTGCACTAACAGGCAAATTCAAGAATGCTTTGCATTACTGTGACTGTTCGGCTCCATTATCCCAGCACCCAGAAAATGTATTTAAAGCAGCTGATAATTTCTCCTGCTTTAAAAACCAGCAAGGATTAACATGTTGGTACCAGCTTTGTTTCATGAGTTTCAGGCTAACCTCCAGGTGTTAGAGACACACCCATTTTCAGTAGACTTTGCTTAGAAAGCGGTTGTGATGATGATGATGGTGCTGGTGAAGCTAGGTAACCGCAGATGCAGGGGCAGGCGGGACTGTCACCTCGCTCTTTGGTTTCGTATTATGGCGAGAAGTAGGTCTAACCTCCTATATATACGGTCTATTTTAATCCCGTCCTCTCATTGGCCGATTCACCTCTGACGCCAGCTCTCGATACAGCACGCGCAGGGCGGATGACACGCGCTATTTCCCGTGTTAAAGTTTCAGCAGTGATGCAACTCCGCGCTCAGGACAGGTGACACCTGAGGCTTTGCGCACTAAATTGAGGAAGTATTAAAAAAAAAACAATATTAAAAGACAGTTGCCAAAGTGACAGCGCTCTTAACACGACAACTTACCGGAAAAATAAAAGTTTATGTTGCTTGTTGTGGTTATTGAATGTTATCACACGATTTTCGTATAATGCACTGAAAATTTGGGCTAGGAAATAACTAACTATCTTAAAAGTAGAAATACCTTAACATGTCTAACCGGGGGCTGTTATTTTAAGGTCATAAAAGAGAAGCACAGTTTAAAAATAAACCTTCAAATTACATAATAATTAAATAACAAAAAGATTAAATAGCATAATTTCATCACACTAACTTTAAATAAGAGTCATTGCACACCATACTTAAATTTATTTATTGTTATTATCACACTTAAAGTTGCAGCTGAGGGCCCTGTGACAAACCACCAAGATTCCCCACTATAGCAGGGAAAACACCCAAAATGCTCATCAAACATCAATGAAACTATTAATGGTTTTGTTGGGAAGTCCCTCAGAGTTCCCTTAGGGTCCCAGTGGCCCCGAGTGGTGACCCTGCTGCCCTGCAGCCTGCAAGGGCGGCACACAGGGATGTATGAGCGCCATATTGCGCCTGGCTGGAGCAGCAGCGGGAGAGGGAGTGTGCGGACCCGCCGTGCAAACCACCGTCTCATCTCCGGTAAGACTTTATTCTTATTTCAACACCTTCGTCCTGCTGACCGACCCCAGCAGCAAAGCGAGATGGAAGAGCTGCAAAATAAGACTTTGTTTGGTTTTATTTATTTATTTTTGCGCTCTTTTTTGTGCTGCACAGCAGGCAAATCTCACAACAGGTGTCTTTGGGATTATAATGGGAATGTAGCTGAGGGCGGCGCAGATGAAGATCTGCACAAAGGGGAGCATTAAGACAGCGTGGGTTTAGGAGCCCACGGTTTAGTCTTCTAAATCTTTTACCGTGTATTTTTATTAGGAAATCTTTTTAGTGGAAAAAGTGGAACGTGTCATAAACTAGGCTTGAGTCGTTTCCCCGTCGGTGTGGGTGTGTACCCAGAGCAGACATTACAGTCCCGGTGAAATATTCCCTGTCTGCCGTCACTTTGTCCCGTTTAGTCACACTGTAGCTGAGCACTCCTTGCGCTAAATGCACTGTAAAACAGCATTGTTTCTGTTGTCTACTTCTTTCTTTTTAATCGACTTTGTGACGCGATGCAGGCAAATATTGAGCATGAAAAGCTTCCATTAATATAAAGTGGGGTGTGGATTTTTGAGATAATGACGTCTTCAAAATAAAAGACCAAAACCACAGACGGGTGGGGACCATTACGTTTATTAAAGGTAGTAGTTGAGGTGTGTTTCTGTACTAAAGCTAAGCTGCATGGTGTCTGTGTGACTCAGTGTTAAGGTAAAGCAAGATTTCAGTATATCCGGTGTTACATTTCAAAATAAAGTCTTTCAAGCGCGACAGTTTTGGTATTCGTTGTTAAAAGACAAGAAATGGCTGTAAGAGAATTTAAAAAGCCAAACAACCAACATCACCATTTTACCTTGTTAATGTGTATAGGTGTATAGGTCAATGTGTATCAGTCTGTTGCTGGCTAACACAGATGGATAACCATCCAGATACACATTCACACTACCAGTTTAGAGTCACCACTTAACCTAACCCCAGGTACGTGACAGCGCGTCAGTGATCCACTGATAAGCAGTATGGTAGTGCCCATCAATTGATCACTGTACATTAAATAAATACATCCATTTGAAGATGCAAACATGGGTTTTTATTTTGTTATTCCAAATGAAAATATTTAGGTTTAGAAGTTCCTCATAGACTGAAGATTTCTCTATTTTGTTTTGTGGAAGGATATTGATAATTCGTATTATTATAGTACTAAGAAGGGTAATAATAATTATAATAATTGTAATAAATATGAAAAATAATCGACGGATTAATGTTTTTTTAATCAGTGTCTCAGGGGATTACTAGAAAACAATGACCAGTAAGACCAACTGCTCTTAATTTGAAGGTTAAAAAGCCCACTTCCTATGTTATTGTATCCGGCTGCCGTTGGCTTGTTGGTTTCCAGGGTGATTCATCCTGATGACTGTAGTCCGCAGGAGTGTCGCGCTATCCTCAGTCGGGTTTAAGTAGCACAGAAGTGGCCGAAACTCGTTTCTCTTCTTTCTCTCTTTTCAGGAAGGCGCAGTGAAAGCCGCAGTCGCTCGGAGTACAGGTCTCTCCTTTTTTATTTGACAGTTCCTCGCTCGAAGCCGGGAAAAGGACAGAAAAATGCCCAAAGCGGTAAGCAGCACCTTTGATTTTTCTGTATAATTTCACTCTTTAGTTCTGTGACAGGTAGATTGTATTAACTGAATCACAGCAGGTAACGATTACCACACTCTCAAATCTGTCTAATCCTATTCGGAAAAAAATATAAAGAAATGGTTTTATTATTTTTGTATTATGCGAATCTCATAAAAATGTGGTTATAGCGACACTATTATTATGACAGTAGAGCTTTATGAGATTATTAGCTCATGTAAAAATACGGTAATCATGTTAAAGGAGAATGCCACTGAAAAATTCAATGTCTTACATCTTTATTATTGTTCTTCATTTATTTTTACTTGAAAGATAAGTGTGAACAGTGTTTAATTTTAAATGTGGTTGCTGTTTAAATAGGTAGATCTATATTTTTAATAGCTATATGCTTTTACTGGATAAGGGTGGAAAGTCTTTGAATGCAGATGTTGGGTGGAAAACTGGCAAAAAAAGTGACTTGCTGTCTATATAAACTGTATTTTATGTAGTTACCATGTATATGTGAACAGGTTTTTAGCCTTCAATTACTCCTGACTCACTTTGCCCCACCCGAGCTCTTACATACTGTACAGTGGCACATGGCTCGTCCTGTATCTATCCCTCTTTGTTATGGAAATGTGTTAGATTAAAGCCTATGTCAATATTTTTCACCGTATAGAAAGTGTCAGAAAGATAAATTAAGCCAAGTTGTTTGCATGAGTAACTCATGCAAGTCAAACTCACAGTTTTAAAGTATCTCAATGGGAAAAAGGCAAACAGTATCAGAAATAGGTGCAGTTGTGCATTTTGTGTTATTATGGTGACAGGTTGCTGTTAAACAGATTCATATAGGCATGACAATGGGAGCCCAGATGAGCATCACTAAACATTTGTCGGTTTGTTTAGAAATGCCTCAGGGTTGTCATGAGCGTCACTGTGGAAATGACATCATTGCTGTCTTGTTAGCAGCAGCACACGGAGTCCAGTTGACACAAAACAGCCTTTTTAGAAAATCACGTCAGAGTATTTTTTTCCACGATACCAAGAAAAAGTCACAAGGCCTTTTTTTTCTTCCTAAAAAGTTTATCCTAAAGACTAATTCAGTGTGTGGCCTCATGATTGGCCCAGTCTTTCAGACATGGCATGAGTAAATGTCAGCAGGACACTGTTTTTTTTAGTAAATCTAAAATTCTTTCGATGCTGTGGGTGGGGAAAGCTGGGAAACAAAACCCACAGCGAGAGTCAGATGAGCCTTATGTTACATTCAGCCTGTTTAATTTCATCATCTATTAGTCAGTTGAAGATTTTCTTACTTAATCATCAGTCTGTGCAGTTTCAAAAATCCCTTTTTCTTCCCCTAGACACACATTTTTGTTTGAGAAATGACAGTTAAAGCTGGTAGTTTTCGTCTCTTCTGCGTAAAAATGCACCTTTTGTGTCAATTTAACACATTTTTTTATTTCAAAGACACAAAATTAAGTCTAAAAACATTTAGGAAAGCCCTAATGAACAAATGCGAAGGTATATTTCATTTTAGCTAATGATCCTGAGAAACCAGAAAGGGACACAAACCAAGCCTCAGGGGTGTCATAAGCTCCTACTAATGGTCCCAACCCCATGATAAATGGGTGTAAAAAAATCTGTGTCAAAACCATAGACATAGATCCATAGATTCAGCTCTTATGTGTAATAATTCACAAAAACTCACCAAAATCATCTAACCATCCATCTGCTGTGATACAGTCAAGAAATGTAAATGTGAAGTCACAGTCAAGCAGCAAAGGATCAAAAATGCAGACTTGCCTTAAATGTGAATTAAACTGAGAGAGAAACCTACAGGCACTCTGCAACTGTTAGAGTTCCGTTAATGGGTGTGATACCAATAATTCCTGCATTGTGTTTTATCACTGTGGGGCAGGACTTCATAGCAGATTTGCGCGAGCAGCGAGGTCTCCCGTTCACCCCTCTGAATTGCACATTATCCAAAGTAAACCACAGTGCTCCCAGAATTTCCTCAGGATCACAGCCCTGTGACACAATCAACACAAGGCGTGGCTGGCATCACCGTGGATGGGTGTTTTCTTCTCATGTCCAGTCCCATTGTTGCTATTTGTTCCTTTTAAATAATTGATTACTCAATCATACGAGGAACACCCTCCAGGCGTGATTCACCAATCCCAAAGTGCTTACAAGTCCTTGAAGTCTCATTCTTCAGTTACTTGTGTTTAATGTTGACAGAACGAGCTGGCCTGTTCTCTCTCTCTCTCCGTCTGTGCTGCAGTCATTTATTGGTATATTGCCATGGTGACTCCCTTTGTACCAGACTCTTGTAAAGCCATGCAAATTATGCAGAGGTTAAATATTGAATGGTCATCACTGAAGAATGCACCGTAGCCTATTCACAGTTTAACTACTGAGGTGATGCCCACTTTATTTTTTAACTTAACCTAGAGAAACGTCTTAAACTTGCCACTGAAACATCCAAAGGAGCGTTAATCAAATCTCGTGGTTATACAGAGCTGGGAGGGGTTATGTACGCATAGACTTTGGAAACTGGAATAACCAAGTCAGTCAGGCCTCTAAATTTAAAGGGTCTCAATTTCATGTTAGATTTGGAAATGGCACTCTAGGAAGAAAAACAATAGTGAAAGCAAATTGCTGTTACAGTAACCTTTCTTGCAATGAGCGTCTAACCTGATTAGAAAAAGATAATTTAATCTATCTTTTTCTAAAGATTACCTCCAGCCTGTTCCTTAAAACACACACACACACAGTGTAACCATACAACATCTTGTGCAGATGGAGTTAATAAAGAAGATCTAGGAGACTGCTTTAACATAAAGACTGGAAACTGGAAGGAACAGGCAGCCTGGCTCTGTGCAAAGATTCCACTTGTGAGCCTTAATCCAGGCTGGTCATTTATTTTCACTTCCAGATTTAATGCCTTCTACATTTGCTTGTAGAGACCTTTTCACTCCCAACAGTTGAAACAGTGGTTTCTTGGTCCATTGAGTACCATGAGTGAATTAACACAGTGATAAAACTGTATTCTCTGACATCACAATGTTTTTTTTTTTTTTACTTCATTCTTAACCCTTGCTAAACTAGTATTTTGGTATGGATGTCAGCATAAAACATCTTTAGATTCAGGCAGATATGTTGTTTTCAGTGATTGGGTAGAAATAACCCGGTAGCAAGGAGACAATAGGGGACTGAAACTTGAAAGGGAGTGGAATGAGTTGATTTCAGGTACTTTGTGCACCACATTGCGGTCTGATCGCCTCATCTAATTCTGACCATGAGATCATGTGCACTTGTTACCATGTTTTGGCTCTCACTGCTTAATAATCTGTGTTGCCATAGAGCTCGGATTGCTTGTTAATGTTTCATAGCTACCACTGTGGTGCATCTTCCTCTAGGAGTGATTTGCATAACCTGTGCTGTTACAGCGGGTTTAGGAAATAGAGCTTCTGTTACTAAAATCTTGAAGTCAGTTATTAATATGAGGCTGGGGTATAAATGGTTAATATGAACTGCTGGACTTTCCTCTGACTAAAGTTGCTCTTTGTGGAACTCTGGGTCCTTGCCTGGTGTATTTTTAGCATATGTGTCATGTTTTCTTTACCGCTGTGAATGGCCTCAGTTTATTGTGAGTTACCGTTGGAGAACTCAGTTTGAGATCAGATATCACTCACTCACTGGTTTCCACTGGCTTGTCTCCTACACATATTCATATATTCCATTCTCTTCTGGTTAGGGTGTGTGTGTGTGTTTTTTTTCCTTCTAGATGCTCCATCTGTAACTGTTACATCTGTAACTGTATTTGTAACACCTCAAACTGAAAGCGCTAGAGAACAGTAATTTAAACAGAAGAAACCTGAAAAATAATACTTAATAGAGCCGTTTCTGAGCGATTCTGGTGAAGTTTTTGTGGTAGGTCATCTGGCTCCTCTGGGATGTAGATGGTGATATTGGAGGCTACTGGGGCACTGCAACTCAAAGGAGAGTTTTGTTTTGCTGTGTAAAGTAAATGCAGTGCTTCCCCTCCTTCTCCAACCTCCAAGCTGTGACTTGAAGCGGGTAGGGGTCGCTTAATTGGGCGAATGACTCAAAACCTTTCAAATTGTACGCACATGTGCCATTAGAAGGTTGAGCTCAGCGCTTCATTGTTTTTATTTTGTTGGTAAAGCAGAGTTTGCTTTACTGCTGCTGGGTTTTAATGTCATGTGAGTTGACTGGCTAACCTGACTTGACAGCAGCAGCAGACTGGGGCAGTAAATGGGGCATTTTGAATATCCACTGACTTGACTGCTGTGCTCTTACAATATCCTGAAGGGCACAGCGGTGAGGTGCTTTTCCATGCACTGCTGTGATTGGATTTGCCTTCCCTGGAGGATTTGCGTGTAACAGTTAGTTGATCAGTCCGTAAAGCTTCATGGGAATCAGCGGCCCTCTGAGTCACCAGATTTGTCGCTGCTCCGGCCCAGATATCCCTTTTCCAGTGGGCGTCATTCAGTTTGTTCACCGCTGAGGCTCAGTGTAGTTCACAATGGACTGGAGATGAAAGATGTCACTGGAGGCCTTTCTCTGTCCTCACTCTGTGTCCACTAACCTCTTTGTATCATTTTCACTGGGCATTAATAAGCTCAGTCAATACCCTGAGTATCTGTGCCTTTTCATAACGACGTCAGTTTTCATTATTCATCGAAGCACGGCAGTGATATTGTTTGAAATGATTCTGCACGTTAATCACCGGGGTGGATGGCTGTGAGTGGACATTAACTTCTGGGCCTGTAGAGCAGGTTTCAGTACGATGGACCTCCTCTTTTTGTAAGCACAGGTCACTGTGATCAGTCATTAACCAGAGAACTGAAAGACTCTGAAGTTTTGAATAGGACTGAGTGAATGGAGTTACTTCAGTTGAACCATCCAGAATAACATACATTGTGCCATTATTAGCTTGGGAAACTGGTGTAAGCTGTGCTTATGATATATAATCTTACTTTCATGAGTTGGACTCGTCACTGCATATTTTAATCAATAACACCTCCAGTTTTGCAGCACAGTTCCCTTCAATCAGCTGGTCTGTCTCTGAGAAAGCAGAGCCCCTTCTGTTTACTCTGCAAATACACCCCCCTTACCAAACTCACACTGACACACACACATTGCAGCTATGCTCTGCAGCAGTTTAGTATGATTTACCGTGTTTTTTTTTAACCTATAAGCACCCCTCTGTGTCTCTGGGTCAGCATTTGAACTCATGCTTTTTTTCTCATGTTTTTCTGCAGGTCAATGTTCGCGTCACCACCATGGACGCTGAGCTGGAATTTGCCATCCAGCCCAGCACCACCGGCAAGCAGCTGTTTGACCAGGTAAAGTGCATATCACCTCTGTACTTGACTGTGGCATCAGTGTTGGCCTTTTAAAACTCTATTTTAAAGACTTTGGAAACATTATTATGTGGAAAAGTTAACAATTTGGGATTTATTTTGATATAAAGTCTTTGAATCTTTTAGCCAAGGTGGTGAATATAGTTTGGCACAAAATTAGGAATCATGCTGAGAAAAGATAGTGGATATACTGGACAAAGATGCTAAGTAAGGAGCTGCTAGGCAGGAAGAAAGAGGAGGACTGCAGAGGAGGTTTATGTATGTATTGAAGGAGGACACGCAGAGTTGTGACAGAAGAGGATATAAGGGTTAGAGTGGGATGGAGGAAAATTATCTTACACAAATTATGACACAGGTAAGTACAGGTGACCGTGGCAATCTGTTAGTGACCACTTTTTTACCCCCAGTGATTGAAGGTTGCCAGGGGTCACTGACTGGTCTCTAAGACTGTGTGACTGAAGACTAAGTGCTTGCATACTGAGTGTCAAAATCTCACTGTTCCCATTCTTCCTCCTGAGGCCTCATGTCCCTTACCCAAATAAATAAAAGAATTAAAATATGTGTTTTTGGGAGATTTTGTTGAGTTTTGCTAGCTGCTTCCTGTTGCTTACAGTGTTTATGCAGCAGTTCCTGGCTTCAGCTAACATTTAATGTTCATACTGTAATGATCGTCTCTGCTGGCAATAAAACAACTAATTACCAACATGTTAAACCTTTTCAGTGCATGCACTTACTCAATTCACAATGTTTCAATCTTTACTTAAGTTAATGCACATTATAAATCAAAATATTTGTCAAATCAAGAATTTTTTTTAAGTTTCCTTTCCAGAAAGAATTGCATTTAGATTAATTTTCAAACTGCTGTGACCTGTATTATTGCACCAGTAAACTGGGCTGTTGTGACTTTCCAGTCATTACTTCTGGGCTTGAAAAGCTGTCCAGCACAGACCAGATTACAGGATCTTTTTCCTTCAAGTCTCCTTTTCAGCATCAGGGACTGTTATTAAAAGTTTCCGGTGATGAAGAACAACAGCTAAATATAACGCTTAAGATGAAGCGAACATGGAACTTGATGAATATGTCAATCAACTTGATGGTTTATGGCTTAACGTGGTGAATGAAGTCTGTGTGGCTGGTTACACAGTGTCAGTGCAGAGTGAAAGGTGTGGTCACAGTGAAGTAAACATTTACCTGTTGTGACTGTAGCTGTCTAGTGAACGGTGGTCTTCACTGACTGTAAATTATTACTGGTTGCTTCATTCTTCTGCAAAGCCTTACAGCTTAATTGTGCTGGCATTTAAGCTCAGATTTATGTTTCTGTAGTCTTCCATCAGGGGCGAGTTGAGTGTTGATGTAAGTCAGTTTGATATTATTACCCACTACGGTGAATGACATTACGTAATCATAGCATGTGGCTTTGTTTCTTGTTGCTATTACTGGTCACCTGCCTTACTAAAGAAGACCATTTTAATTTTCCCTTTCCTGTTGCTTTTGAGGCCATTGTGAAACTCTGTAGCAAAGATCCAAATGTAGATGACGAGTCATTAGTATGAGCTCCTCTGTGGCTTTTACGACAGCCCCGGGGGAGGGAAGGCATTGTTTTAGCCACTTCCTGTTTAACTTGTTTTTCAATAGCAAAGTAAAGCTGACTGTGGATTGATTTTTTTTTTTTTTTTTTAGTCAAAGACATTTGAATGCAGTCATGTTAAGTGTAGTATTGACCTAAAAAATCACAACAAAAACATCCAGATTCAAAAATGGTCATGTTTGATGTCTCGTGCAAAGTGGTGTATGAATTACTTGCATGTAACTGATCAGTTCATAACAAATTTTCAAATAGCAGAGGCATCGTCACTAGTTTTGTTGAAGTAAAGATGAACTAAAGACCCTGATGTTGACCTCTCTTTATTCGCCTACTTGTTACAATGGCTGTAAGTAGGGTGTGCCACATATAATCATTCTCTCTCTGTGAGTGCCAGAGACAGTTCACAATGCTCTATTTTTATACATCAATACAATTTGCTACTCCAAGCATGGCAAATTATCTCCAAAGCTTTGAGCAACCGTTCACTGTGCCTCCAGGTTTAAATGTGTGACAGTAACTTTGGAAATTCCTTGGCCCTGAAGTCTGTTTGTGCCTGATTTAAAAAATATATATATATATTTTTTGAAAGCCTTGAAAGCAGTCGGCAACAGAAAACAGAAGTACCCTCATAGAGTTCAGCAGCTTCTGTGGAAATGCTGAGTAACAACAGTGAGCTCATTCCCAGTGCGAATGTGAGGCCTGGCGTGGCCCGTGTGGTCAGCGCTGATCATAGCCTTCGTCCTTGTCATGCTGCTGTTAAGGAGAAACGCCTGCCACTCCCCTACACACCCTCATACGGTTTCACTTCCATGTGACTTCTGCTTCTTTTCGTTTTGCCTTAAGCCACAGTTAGGAAAATCACTGCCACTGCATTTTACAGTAGTAGCAGTGGTTAGTTAAATCTGGCCACGTTCGGCCTCCAGATACTTTCTCCTGCGTCGGTGTGGTTTCGACAGATTTTCAGCTTCAGCTCTGTAGAACTGGTTTGGATCAGTTAAAAGCTGGAGGGACAATTGCTGTGAAGAAGCTGAAATCATGGCAACGTTTTTAAACAGTTCAGCAATGTGTTGAACCGAATCCAAGTCCAAGAAATATGTCTGACAGGTGGCAGCAGAACAATGTGGCACCCAACCCCATATGTCAAAGATTCATACAAAAACATTGCTGAGTTCCTTGTCAAGAGAGGTAACATGTTCCAATGTGGGATGTTTGTGGTTGTGTTATGGTAGAGCTATTCTTAGTTATTAAAATGAGCAACTCTGGCTTCTCAACACTCGCTTGGTCATGGTCATTGTCATTTGCCTCGAACCGGCACTCCCACCTCAGGGCACACTCCATCTTTATCGTGGTCGGTCCTTGTTTGGGGGGAAACCTCTCCCTTCCCCGCCTCAATCACTGGAACACTCTGGGTTAGTCTGCCTGGGGGATCCAGTGAGTAATGCTTTTTCAGGCCAGTGGCATTCCTGTCTTTTACCACAAGGCCTGAGCTCCCATAAACCAGTAGGAGAGACTTTCACTCAATGTCTGATTGCTTTTAGCGTTAACCTGACTGCTAAATATTTCTCAGGTGTTTTCCCCCTCTTTTCTTAATCATTGCCAGAAAAATGCAGAGCTGTCCTGGTTGCCTCTTTGGCCTCTTTGGTTTTATGTATGAAAATTAACTTATTCATGCTGGTTAATGTCATCAAGAATTTTTTAGTAAAACCATCCACAAGTTAGCCAAAAGGCATTCGATTCAGCACTGAAAAAAGGCTCATATGTAAGGTAATAGTCATTAATTTAAAAGTCTGAAACGTTTTGTCATTTTTGCTACGGACAGAAACATTAGGAGACATTACAGCCTCGTAACTAAAGCTGGGATTCTGGGATTCAGTGTTAGCCCCATACTGCGGATCATCTGCTTTACGATGCTTCATTTCAGTGTAACTTAAAGATATAAACTTGACAAAGTGCTAACAGAGAGCTTCCTGGGTAGAAATTCAGTTATGTGAATATCCTGTCTGGCAGGTAGGACGTAACACATTCTCTGAAAGAAAATGAGAAATTCTCATTCTGGATGAGAATCAGGCTGATCATTAGCAAAATAAAGAGTTTTCAGTTAGTGCTGCCTAACTAGTAGCAAATATATAAGCAGATTTCATTAGACTTTAGTGCTAGCAAGGTGAGGGCAGACAATTCCTTAAACCACACAGAGTATTTGCAGTAGTGAGAACTAGGGAAAGTGTCTTGTTTTCTGCAGTGCACTACACGTGAGGAAGAGTAATGGCCTCTTGTTTCGGTGTGCCTGCCTTAAACCTGCATTCTCTCTAGTGGCCCACAGGGGGCGACTCCACTGGTTGCAAAAAGTAGTCCAGCTACATTAAAGTCTATAAAAAGCTACCCTTTAACTCAGTTGATGATTAACTTCAGTAAACACTTTTCTTGTGAGTTTGTGGTCTCAGTTGTTAGTTTCAGTAAATATAATCCAATGTTTGTTTTTGTGAATGATGAGCCCATTGGAGTCAAAGTGCAGTAAAGCAGGGTGTGCTTTAGGGTGGGCCACTGTTGTGATAAGCATGTGGTGTCTTTGGTTTGTTTGTCAGATTGACTCCACCAATACCAAGACAGTGATAGTTAAAACACTGAGAGACTTCAATACAGGACTTCAGTAATGTAATGTTACAGTGATGATGAAGCTCATTATCTCATAATGAACTAGTCTAAGCCATTGCTAAAACTTAAACAAATAGTCAAAGGATTCAGTCTATTAATTCATTTTCTACCACTTTAGCCCTATATCTGTCTTACTGGTTTTACTTTATAGTTTTAACAGTAAGGTATTGTGACCATATAGGATTTTGTTTAATGTTAAAAATGTAATCAAAAGGCTTAAATTGAATTTCCAAAAACCTTGAAGCTAAGTTTCTAACTGGAATGTTTTACTCGGAGGGAATATGTGCTACACTCGGGTTTCAGAGCTCTTGACGGATATTGAGGTAAACTAGCAGCAACCCATTAAAGTCGAGGCAACCTGCCAAATCACCCTGCTGCGAAGTCAGCCCACTAAACCGTGTCCCCAGGTTCAGATTTAATCCACCTCTAATGAACTGTATTATTTTCAAAATCCTTTGTCAGCAGGTGTCCGTAACTTGTACAGCATATTTTGGAAGCTAGTTTATTTTTTTAGGCGAACCAAAATGTTGTTGGTAAGCTTATACGGATTACTTCAACGACAAAGTGGTATCAGGGATTTCTTCAGCTGAATGTGAAACAGAAGCTCATTTAGGTATATGTGTCGCTGTTCCTTCTGGTATCTCTCCCTCTCAGTCTGTGGACCCCAGATCTAAAAGCACCATGAAAGGACCGATTGTTTTCTCAAGCTTTATGAGTTTCACTACAGGTGAGATGCAGGCTGAAGTGCTCTTGCTCTCTTATTCCAGGCTCTCGTCTTGTTCCTGCTGCACTAAATACAATCCATCTAAAGGTCTAAAACAAAGTCAGTCTTCTTTCATTCAGGGACTTGTTGATATCTATCAAGAAGAGAAAAACATTGTGGATTTAGCTAAGTGTTGCATTTAATCAAAAGAGTCTTGTTTTGCTGCATGATTACTTATTAATATTGAATGATCCTTAAAAATGATATTTTCCAGTTATTGTTGTGGCGATTTACTTATTGTCTTAACTGTGTTTTTTGTGATTTAAAAGAAAATGTCCCTCAGGGATCCTCAGAGACCAGTGAGAATACAGTGAATGGTTTTACAGTGGTTCATGCCCAGGATCTTATGTGGCCTGAGGGATCAAACATGTAGCATTTAAGAGCGTACCTTTGTTTGTCCTGGCAGTGTCTAACTGCATTAACTAAAGCCTGAGAATGTGTAATACTATGAGGGCTGTCCACCAGATTACTGTGGTACCTGAGTATGTCATCTTAAGGTTAGACTGTATAGACTTTGCCGAAGGTTGAAAGTCCTTCAAAGGCCTTTTCACAACTTGTCATTGTGAGAGGAAAAAAATTACAAGTTAGTGTGATTATGTGGAAAATTACAAGGCATGAAGGCCACAATCTTTGTATTTTTCTGAAAATGAAAAACTTTGTGTCACAATCCAGTTAATAAAAATGTTATTAAGCTACAAAAAGATTTCTGTGGTAGTGCGTTAGGCGATAAAAGGAATAGCTGTTGTAGCTCTGCTAAATCTGAGTGCTTTCTGTTTCTCTGTGCAGGTGGTAAAAACCATTGGCTTGCGTGAAATTTGGTACTTCGGGCTTCAGTATGTGGACGGCAAAGGTTACAGCACTTGGCTAAAACTGGACAAAAAGGTAAAACCCAGCTTTAAAATATGTTTGTGTGTGTGTGTGTATTGATACTTATTTGTGAATGATTATTATTATTGATAATGCCAAACCTGTGTCTTATTTATACTTTGATGGGCACTTTCCTTTTCATTACATGGTACCTGATTCCTGCATACTGTGTATGTCATGTCTGCTTGGCTCCTTTCACACCCTTCCCTTTTGATTAGTATGGAGTAATAGAGAAAGAATGCATTGTTCTGAGGGGGCGATGCATTCAAAGGTCTCTTGTTTGCCTTTCATTCAGTCAGTAGCTGCTATATTGCTATATGCGTAATATGACATGGCAGCTGATTTTTGAAGCCCCGCCTGGTTTCTGTGTGCTGCGGTGGCTAAGGAGGGTGGAAGGGGTGGAGGGGGTCAGGGCTACATGTTATCAGCTGGAGGGGGATTATTTGACAAAGAGTATGAACTCTTTGTGAACCATAGCTGCCTCTGTTATGTTCCTCTCTTTCCCCGAGTAAACACACTTTACCTGGCCTCGGCTCAGTGTTGATCTGCATTATCAAACGGACAAAAACTGTCTTGTGAAAAGCACACATTTGCCTGACAAACAAAAGATCCCTGGTTCGATTCCGTGAGGGGACCCAGATCCTTTTTGGGGTTGCGTCAAGAGGGCATTAGGTTTTTAAAATAAAAATAAATCTGCCAAATCAAACGTAAAGCTTGTGAATAAGGGAGCAGCCTAAAGAAAATCAGCCTGGTGATAAAGTCATATGTCCATAGTCCACATGTTCAACTCTGCAGCTGATCCTGTCCTAATAATCTGATCTGACGATAATTGATGGATTCCAAATTTGAACCACTAGTTGGGTGCTACTTCTGAATCTCAAACTGAAGCAAGGAGGGAGGCACCACGTTTTTACATGAAAGAAAAATGTGTGGGATAATTTTTGAAATGTACACCAGCCTCTTTTGGCTCCCATGAGGAGGGTTAAGCTCAGAGTTTAAAAAGTAATGTTGAGTACACCGATCTTGTTTATCTCTAATAGATTTGAAAAGAAAGGTTATGAGTAATACCTTTCTGAATGAAACAAATGCCAGAAACGATGCTAATCTGTCCTGTCAATTTATAAAATTTTTTTCGAAGAGAGAGTGACAGAGAGAGAGAGAAAGAGAGAGTTATACTTGCCTCAGTCAGCAGCAGCAAACTGTACACTGTCTGCTGACAGTGCAGCTCATCAGCACAATGCAATGATCAAACTGGAATATTCCTGGTCCCATTCTCTTCACCAAGACTGCCTGGTTCCTGTTTTGAAATGAGAGGAAGAGGTGTATTGTGTAAACACACACTGTAGCTGGGAGTTAATAAAGTTTATTTCGACTAAATGAAAGGGCAGATCCCCCTTTTAAGGTCATTACAGTGCAATGGGTTTCATACGGTTTAAAGTGTGGATCAAATCCATTATTTATACCACTGATTGTGATTGTTTTGTAGCCAATAATAGTAAATTTGTTAGACAAACTGTTTTTAATACCCAATACCCAAGGGCATTGTAAAGCGCTTTGGGTGCCTTGAAAAGCGCTATATAAATCCAATCCATTATTATTATTATTATTATTATTAAAACATGCTTTTATAGCGTCATGATTCACAGGATGATTCTTGCAACAGAAAGTCTTGATTTACACTCTGACAGTTCTGGCATTTATATAGTCCAGTTTTACAATTTGAAACTGAAGTCACAGCTTGACAATCATTTTGAAAAGTTGAATGAAAATGAAAACCTGTCCATAAAATTACTTGGAATACTTTGAGATAGCAATTGCTTAGATAAGATAACAGCCTCTTATTTAACCAACTTATCAAGGCAGTAAGTGAGTATGTTTATTGTATAATTTCTCCCCAGGTGTCATCTCAGGATGTGAAGAAGGAGAACCCCCTGCAGTTCAAGTTTCGTGGCAAGTTCTTCCCTGAGGACGTTTCTGAGGAGCTGATCCAGGAGATCACCCAGAAGCTCTTCTTTCTGCAGGTGAAGGAGAGCATCCTGAGCGACGAGGTCTACTGCCCACCAGAGACAGCCGTGCTGCTGGCCTCCTACTCTGTTCAGGCCAAGTTTGGAGACTACGATAAGGATCTCCACCGGCCTGGGTACCTGGTGTCTGAGCGCCTACTGCCACACAGGTGAGATGTGACCTCAGAGCCACTAATTGAGACTTGCAGACTTATTAATCTAAATCACTTGTTTGTCCTTTTTTGCTTTTAATGGGGAAAATTTATTCGAAAAAAGGAAGTAGCATGCTTAAAATCAGCAGCACTGGTTGAACCAGCTCCAAAGAAATTCATAGTGTCTCCACCCAAAGAAACAAAAGAGGAGATGGATTTTATTGAGGAAACATTGTTTCTAATTAACAATGAGTCAAGAGCAAATTATGCATGTAATCTGTTTAGATTGGCTCTTGTTCCACCCTCACCTAGATATATGCAGTTACTCTTCATATATATATATATATATATATATATATATATATTTATTAATTTTTTCCGTGCCAGTTATCATCAAACACTCCTACAGGTTAAAAGTAGGAGTCCATTTTTACCACGCTTAGTAACCAGGAGCAGGATTTTAAATGTGAGTGGGTATGTCAGGGATTGGCACTTTAAATGTCTGGGCGTAATGCTTTATGTGTCTGTCCCAAAGGTGTAGAGATTGTTGCAAAACTAAACAACAACGTGCTGCCTTGTACTGAACCTAAGCAAGAAATTTGAAATTCTTCTAGAAATCTACAACAACAAAAAAACCACGACTGCAGCTCTAAGTCCCTCCAACCACACAGACATGAACATATAAGCATTAGGATGGAGCGTGAAGTCCAAAGTAACTCAACAGCATTTTGTGCTTTTTACTATAACTTTGATGCAGGATAAGAGAACAAAATTCCCAGATCAGCCAGAGGGTTGCCATGTTATGCTATCCCATAGCATATAGTTCCACTTTATACCACAGAAACTGCATGAAAATAGCATATTTCTACATTTCTCTGTTTCTGTCTACAGAGTCATGGAACAGCACAAGTTATCCAAAGATCAGTGGGAGGAGAGGATCCAGGTGTGGCACGAGGAGCACCATGGGATGCTGAAGTGAGTTACTGCTTTTCTGCAGTTCTGTTAAGAATTATTTTTGTGTAATCCTGCATTACTAAAAGGAATTGTGGTTTTCATGTCCTGATCTTTGCCTGTTCTTGCAGGGAGGATGCTATGCTGGAGTACCTGAAGATCGCCCAGGACCTTGAAATGTACGGAGTCAACTACTTCGACATCAAGAATAAGAAGGGAACAGAGCTGCGTCTGGGAGTGGACGCCTTGGGACTCAATATTTATGAGAAGGATGACAAGTAAGTGCAGCTCCTTCAAGTACATGGCCTCGGTGTTGGTGTCTCTTCTTGTTGTTGGAGTAGCTCTGGCCCTGCGGTGGCTGTGGCTCAGGAGGTAGACCAGGCCATCTACTAATCAGATTGAACCATCACCATCAATCTGTGGTGTGAGTGTTAAGTGTAGAAAAAGGGCTTAAGACATGCTGTATAAAGCGCTTTAAGCGCTCAAGTAGAGTTGAAAAGTGGTGCATAAGAACCAGTCCATTTACCATTTGCACAACTAAACTGGCTGAGCCAGGTTCATGTCTGTGCTTAATCACTGTTCCTGTTCTACCGCAGGCAGTATGACAAGAATAACAATGAAGACACGGGAGATACAGACAGTTATAAATTTAAAATCAGCAGTTTACTTTGAGTCAAAAGTCTGCTGTGCAGGTCAAATAATAGGTTCTTATTTGGAGTTCTTCGGGGTTTTGGACCACAAGTTGGCACATAATGTGGTTTCATGACTTTAGTACTTATTTTTTGACTGCCTCAGGTGACTGTAACCTAATCTCTTTTAGAGATAAAGGTTATCAGTTGGTTGTAGAGGTTCACTTCATGCTCTACATAATTCTAAATGGTAAAAAAATCTCCTGACGCATTTTTAGGCCATTTAAACATGCAGATGATGTACAAAAGCTGCAGACATTTTGCCTCGCCTTTCATTCCATCTGATTCAGTTCTCGTTCTCACCTTTGGTAACACTGAGATAAACTTGCTTAACCAGGCTAAAGTGCACAGTTAATCTCTAACCATTTTTTCTGTTAAAAACAAACAAATAAAACAAAGTAAATGTTTTTGATCAGTTTGTGGTGCTGTGCTTGAAGGCAGACCTACTTTTTGAGAGATCCAACACACACTGGTGATTGGGTGTTTCCACATTGCTTTCTGGCATTGCTTGTGATTTTCCACTTTGTTTGTAGGCCAAGACACTTTGGGAGATAATCACCGTCTGGTTTGGTGAAATGACTTCTGAGATCCCCTGTGGCCTCTTGTGTGTGGTTACTGGAGTGAAATACACTGTGTTAAAGGGGCACTCCATCCCAGATGACTTGCACTTCAGTCACTGACCCCGTGCTTGGAAAAGCTGCCAGCTTTGGCTTCGATTGTCGTTCTTCACGTATTAAGTTTGTCTACTTTCCTGCCATGCAGTGGGGTCTGCTATGTCTGTGGAACAAATGAGCACAGCACAATGGTGATGTTTTAAAGAGAAAGCTTGGCATCTCAGCTCCCTCATCAGGCCTCTAACTGAACATTTACAAGCTTGGTTTATTGTCTTCTCAAATCTAAATGATTTAATTACCCTTACTGCCATTGTGTTTGAGTCATTCCTGCGCTTCATTTCACTTTAAGTCTAATTTAACAGCTTGAGGTATGAAACCTCCAAGAAGAGAGCAAATATATTGTTAGGAATCAGACCAGGTCTTGTGTGAGTGTCTCTTTGTGCGCTCGCTGGGATCAGCATAAAAATGCCTCTCCTCCATGGTGCCCTCTGCTGTAACCATGGCTACGCCGACTGGTTTTTCAAGCTGTGCAGCACTTAAGAATGCGAAGCAAACCTACAACACTGTCTCTCCAATGAGGGCAGCCGGCCCACAATGCAACAGTGCAGCCAAGGTTTCACCCAGGCTGGAGCTGGATTAACTCCTTCTGCTCCTGCTGCTGTAGCTCATTTTTAAAGGGCAGTTTTTGCTTTTTTTCAGCCAAAGCTTTGTCTTTAGCAGGCAAGTGCAGCCTCACACACTAAATTCACTTTTTAGCATTTAGGAGTTAAACGGGTGTAATAAATAGATTCTTAATTGGCCTTAACTGTGTAGCACTGAATAGTCCAAGCTTGAATGACACACTGGACCTGAAACAGTTATTTATATATATTTTTTATATCAATACAAGTTACTTTAATACATTTTTTTGTTGTAGAGCCTGACCAATATTGGGATTTTTGGTAGATTACTGATGCATATTTTAAAAGAGTAAAGATGCTGGCTGATAATTTTTGCCTTTTTGTTCGTTGAGTAGCTGTTAATGCCACATATTACCACACGGTTGTTTCTTAATTAGTCACTCATTTAAGCTTTAGTTTAGACTTCTTTGTCAGTCGGTGAAAGTGATGATTTGTGACCCCTGTCCATCATTGTTGCAATCCCCAGGCCTAAAAACTGGTTACCAGTTGGGCCTAAACATAATGAGACGGTTCTTAAATTAATTGGTGGCACATTCAGATGTAAGTTAGTTCTGCTAGCTACTAAAGTCAGCAAATAATAAATGATATTATCAGCAGAATGAGTCTGGTGTCTCAAGGAGAATTGTCTCTGTTTGTGGAGGCATTTTACTACATAGAGTGAATGATTTTGGGTATGCAACCTGTACAGATGCACTTGTGTGCAGGGGATTTTGATGTAGGTTGGAATTTTAAATTTGCATAAGCGGACAGGGGAACCATAAAGAGGAAATATTGTTAATCTGTAAAAAAAAAAAAGCTCCAAAAAGCAGCATGAAAGACATAAACAGCAGCTGCAGTGGACAGTTTTCATTGTTTTTAATAGCCATCATCTGTTTTCTGCTACTTGGCCGGCCCGTGGGGACAGCAGTCCACTCAGAGACGCCCAGTCATCTCTTTTCTTGGCCACCTCCTTCAGCTCTTCCATGGGGACACCAAGGTGTTTCCAAGCCAACTTATAGACACAAACTCTTGATTGTGTCCTGGGTCTGCCACAGTGACTCCTTCCAGTAGGACATGCCTGAAACATTGCACCCAGGAGAGGTCTTTGTCAAATGCCTGAACCACTTCTTTTAGTGGCTCTACTCAGAGTCCCTATTGAATGACTGATCTCCTCTCCTTATCTCTGACACTGAGTCCAGACTCCTTTTGAAGGAAGGTCCTTTTTGCCTGTTCTATCTCCAATATCATTCTTTTGGTCACTGCGTCCAGCTTGTAAATCTATAGCTTTGCCTTCTCTCCGATACAGTATCCCTATCACCAAGATGCCACACCAGTCTGCCTTTCAGTTCCATTCTGATCCGGAGTGGGCATGCACCCTTTTCCAGCTGAGAATCAGTCTCGGAGGTGCAAAGTCTTTCGCAATGAGAGCTCAGCAAAAGGACACATAACAGCAGAAACTCAAACAAGAGTAGCCCACAGACCAGTTATTCCACACATTTTCTTGACACTGCCCCCTGGTGCCAGTAAACAGCTACAACATAGCTTTTTGTAGGACCAGCGTACAGCTTGAAGCAAAGACGGCTGCACCCATGCAGCTCAGAGTATCCCGAGTATATAATCTATTCAGCTTTGTGCAGCTTTCATTATCTGACCTTTTACTGTCACTTTACAACAAATTTTCATGTACAGACTGCAGCAGTACCTGAAGCTGGAGCACACCTTTTATTACTCATGCATTTGGTTTTTGCAGCCATTGCAATCAAATGCTAATATTTCTTACACCTGAATTCTTATACATTAGAGAATTAGTTAAAAGAGAGACTTGGTAGTAAAATCCATTTATTCATGGTTTCTCCTTTTAAAAGCAAAAATCAAAACAAGTTTTGAGCAAAGAGTTCCGTGTTACCAAAATGAATTGATAAAGCACACCTCCATAGACCACAGAAGTGTGATAGAAATACTCAGCAGATAACTTCCACATTGTTTTCTCAATTCCACAGGCATGTGTCAGGGTCAGCTGGAGCGAAATTCCAGTTCAGGGAGTATAGTTTCATAGTTTCATAGTTTCATAGTTTCGTTGGCAGGTGTGCGGCTGCTTTTTTTTAGATTACCACATTATCGGCCTCTTCATGTTTAAAGTGCGACTTTTCATTGTGTCGAAAGACAGGCATTCGTTCAGGTTTTTTTTTCTGGCACTACAAGTAGCCTGCCACACCCCAGATTCATTCCTCCTACTTCGTTACCGAAATCCATGCTAAGAGGATTATTCTGACTCAGAATGAATGAAATGTGGTCCAAATGAGATTGTTCAGTGTATTTCTATAGCTTTATGATATGTAAACTGTCTGTATTCTTATAATAAATGGGGCTAGAATTGAGAGTCACAAATTTACTCCAAGCTGCCTTCAGTTTGGTTGTTTCCAAAATAAAATAATGTGACATAAAAAGTGAGTTTTTTACATTTGAAAAACTATAACTAGAGATTTTAGCATAAATTTGAGAAAAGTGAAACGATGACTTGCTTCTCAGTTGCTGATTACTTGTCTATTAATCTACTAACTGCTGGAGCTGAAGTATTAATAACAACTGATAAGAATGCACATTATTCCAAGGAAAGTGCTGGAAACATTACTTAAATTGTAATAAAATAAATTTTATGAGCAAGCACTCAAGCTACTTAAAAAGTCTATTGAGATCTTTGTCATTGTAGGTCAGTATTTTGAGCTTGGAACATAATGAAAGAGACACTTGTCTAAGGAGGAAGGTGCTAAACCTTTCAGTGCTGTGTAAACCAGCAATAAAACCTCAGGACGAGACCTGAAACCAGTACGAAGACAATAAAAACTGGGTGTGATGTAGTATTTTATTTCGTCACCATGCTCCGTGCAAGTCCATTTTTTTAAAGAGGCGGAGGTGTAAATACTGATGTTTTTTTAGGCCATCTAGATAACAAAACAGTTCATACAAAAGAAGACCAAGAGCAATCAGTTTTTACATTGTGAAAAAAGAAAGCTGTGGTTAATTATGTACAATACATTTTTGGTGGAAAAATGAACTCGTACTTAGCAGACAATTCAGGTTTTTATGTTTAAAACACTGTATTGGCACCGTTATCGATCTCAGTGGAAACATGCAGGAAGGTCACACTATATCAGAAAATGATTATTATTGTGTCCCAGTGGACACCCACATTATCCCATATATTTCACATTTATTTTCTTGTGCTTTCTCCTTCAGACTGACCCCTAAGATTGGCTTCCCCTGGAGTGAAATCAGAAACATTTCTTTCAATGATAAGAAATTCATCATCAAGCCTATTGACAAGAAATCTCCGGTGAGAAATCTCATCTAAGCAATCACACACACACACACCTCTTCTTTCAAAGGTCCTATTTTTCTATGTAATTTCCCTTACTTAAAGCATTCTTTGTCTTTAATATCAGGCTTTTCAGGACGTATTGGGTTACAGTGTGTTTCTGTATTTAAGCTCGCTGCTTCCATTTTGCCTGTGGCATCATGTTTCTCTGCAGCGGAGGGGGAAACCATTAGGCATATCTCCCATTACAATCGAGCATAAAGAATAGCCAGAGCTGCTTTCTAGGCAGCGCTGTTAGTGATTGACTGCAGACACACACAAAAAAGCAAGTGGTATAAACCTTATCTGTGCACTTCAGGCTGCTCTGCCTTTTACTACGAGCGGAGGTTGGGTTTTTTTTAGCACCAGTATTCATTATTCAGCCCAGTGTCTGTTCTGTTTTCTCCTTATCGTTCTTATTGTTTAATTCTTTTCCCAAATTCAGGACTTTGTGTTTTACGCCCCGAGATTGCGCATAAACAAGCGCATCCTGCACCTGTGCATGGGCAACCACGAGCTGTACATGCGTCGCCGTAAACCCGACACAATTGAGGTGCAGCAGATGAAGGCCCAGGCCAAAGAGGAGAAACACCAGAAGCAGATGGAGAGGTACGCAGATTGTGGAAATGAGTGTCATTTAAGAAGTAGTTTCACTCTTAAAAATTATTGTGTGACTGTTGTCTTAAGTAAGAACATAAACCTTTTAGACTATTATGGTTTTACCCTCGTGCCATTCACTGAGATTTTGATAAGAGCTGATGTGTTTTCACTGAGTCAGCTGTGAATAAAATGAGCAATGAGCAATCAATTACAACATTAGAACACGTCATTGCTGCAGCTGCTACTAAAACCCCTTATCAGTTATTATTTTCATAGTAACTTGATTGATTTTTATTTAGAGGTCAGGGAGGAAAGAAAAGGGTGCACAGAAAATATTAGAGGTTTGATATAATAACTACAAAAAAGGTGAAGTGTAGGAAATGTACTTCCTGTGTTGACTGAGCTGAAACTGAATGGATGTTGACCCTGATCTCAACAGCAGCTGTCAGCTCACTGTCTGTCCCACACAGCTGTTCAAACACAGACAACCATGAACAGACAACAACAGTGAATACCAGAGAGAGAGCCATCAGATCACCAGTTCAGGCTCGCGCATAGTAGCCCGTAGTCTGTCCAGTAATCAGGTTGACTGGTGTTCAAACATAATTACAAGATGGTTTGCGATGAGTCCCTCAAGAAACTTTATTTAAAAGGGACGTGAAACGCTACACAAAGGCTAACTTAATTCAGTTATCCCTGCTCTCAAAAACTGACATAGATGTAACACTGTCTGTGAAACTGAATTTAAGAAATAAATGCTTAAAGTTTTAAAACCATGTTTAGCGCCATCTGTCTGTGCGGAGCGTGATGTCATGTGGTGGGTTGGTTGCGGTAATAGCTAACATAAACTAATGTAAGTCTATTTAGTGACAGAATCAATAACTCAGTTGAAAATAATGACACTAAAACTAACTACCTTACTAAGTACTCATTTATAAAGTGCTTTACAAACCCAAATATTATAGCTAACAGCTGGATTTTCCTGTTTGAGTGCAGCTAGTCAAACAGCGAGCAGCCAATTACTGCTAAAGAGACATACAGTGGAAATTGACACTATTGGCTCAGTTTCTTAACATAGAACTTATTGTTCTATTTAGGGCAACACAACTGCGATCCCCTAGTTTTAGTGTTGTTATTTTCCTCGGAATTATTGATTCTATCGCTAGTTAGCTAACAATAACTAATGTAAGTCTATTGCAACCAGCCAACCACACGATGTCACGCTAAAAGAAAATGGCGTTAAACTTTAAGCACTTATTTCTTAAATCCAGCTTCACAGACAGTGTTACATCTATGCCAGTTTTTGAGAGCAGTGATCAATTATGTATATTAGCTTTGATGTGTGAAGCATTTCATGTCCCGTTTAAACATTAACAAACCCAGAGAGATATCAGGTTTTTTTCTGCAGCAAGAGGAGACATGATCAGGATGTGAAGAGAGTCAAATGAAGTTTAACTAAGAATAGGGAAGCGAGAGATGAATAACTCATCCCAAATTTGAGAAAATGAACTGTTCAGTTTTTTAGATTAAGGCAGATTGACATAAAGTTTTCTGAGAGACAAACAAAGTCCGGCTGTGGAGTATTTTAAAATTATAGTGGATTCCAAGAGTTTGTAAGAGACTAAAATGGTGTTTAAGAATGAATCATAATTAATTAATCATAACCTAGTATATAAAAGTTAATTGCTAAGTTACTAATGAATTATTTGGACATTTAGTGGACAAACAATTAGTTAAAAAATTAACTGAAGCCAATAATTTCATTTCTGTGAGTAAAATTCTTGGTTACTGAGGGCTCTGCTCACATCCTCCTATCAGCTGATTTCATGCCAGCTTTTTATAGCTCTCATAAACCCTGAAGTCATTCAGTTTGCCAAGTCTTTGTAAAAGTCATGCAACTTAAAATCACAAGACTTCACCTGTATAATATGACTGCGTGAAAAAAATTATATTTAAATGTCTTGTTGTTTTCACCAGCTCTTATAGAGCAGTTTTTGCAAACATGCACCAAATGCCACGTTTGTGTGTGTGCCTTTTGCAATAACCATGTATCAACTATATCAGTTCTGTTTGTGTCCTCACGGCTCCTTTCTGTTATCTGCAGAGCCCAGCTGGAGAATGAGAAGAAGAAGAGAGAGGCCATTGAGAAAGAGAAGGAGCAGATGGAGCAAGAGAAGCAGGACCTGATGATGAGGCTCTACCAGTTTGAGGAGAAGACCAAGAAGGCAGAGAAAGGTGAGGCGAGGGGAAAGATGTGTCTGAGTGTGTACGTGAAAATATTTGGAATATGTGTGTACGTGTTGTTATGCAGGTAGGTAACAATAGGTTATTAGGATATGCATTCAGTTTACTTGTTGTGTAAATTAAATGATTAATCAAAGGCAACCCGCTGCCTGCAAAATAACACTAAAAGCAGCACGGAATGAAGCACAGTTATTAGTAGTCATTGTCTTTTTGATTACATATGGCTCTGTATTCAAAACAGAGGAACAAAAACTACGTCTTGGAATGGACTCTCTGCAGTTTTGTCATAAACAAAAGACAAAACAATTTGATTGACTTACGGAAGCAGTCTGGTTGTAAATTAGCTCTGATTTCCAGTGTTTGTTATTAAATGATTTAAATTCCAGCTGATCAAACATCCCGAGCATTATAAATAAGAAAGCGTTCACACAGTCATGGTGCAGAGCTTTGTTGGTATTCAGGAAACATGTTTGACATCTGACAGGTTTACTTTTTATTGAACTTCCTTCTTCCTTCCTTATTAAGAGACTGCTGTGAGGTGGTGGTCTCAGTTAATAGTAACAAATATACAGATATATACTGCTGCTCTGTTATCTTATAAGATAATGAAAAAAAACCCCATATGAACATAAATATCTACACGTTTAAATAAAGTATTTGTGTCATATTATATTTTCTTTCCCCCTCTTTTTGCATGTTAGATTTGCAAGACCAGCTGCAGAGAGCCATGATGCTGGAGCAGGAGCGCAGGAGAGCAGAGGAGGAGGCAGCTCGTCTGGAGGCAGAGCGTCAGGCTGCCCTGCTGGCTAAAGAGGAGCTGGCCCGCCACTCTGAGCAACAGAAGAAGAGTCAGGAGCAGCTGGTCAGTGTTTTAAATCAGTCTTTTGTGATTTTTCCTTTATTTTCCTCTCATTTCAATACTGTTACATAGGTGGATGCTCATGATAAGCATGTGCACCATTTTTAATATTGAGGCTATGTGTGACATCAAAGAAAAGGGATCTTTCTTATATGGTCATCTCAGAGACACAGGTCTGACACCAGGAAAAGCAACCAATCGGAAAAAAGCTGCCTGAACAGGAGAAGGAAGGAGGCTAAAATTGCTTATTTCACTGTAAGATTATGGTGACAGTGAAAAAAAAGATTTATCACACACACTTTTATTGCCGAGATCTCAGCTGTTTGTCCAGGTTATTATCAGGCATGTACTGATGACTGGCTACTGTTGCTCCAGACAAAAGCATTTTGTAGTGTCTAGCTGGTCCACACCGCTGCCCCTCAGACTAACAGCCCCTCAGAACCACCTGCAAGACTGTGCTTCAGTTCAACTGTCCTGACACGAAAAGCTGTGGTTCCTACTCCACATTCAGGCACCAGACACAGTTTTATTAGACACCTGCTGTGACGCCCTCTTTACTTAAACCCCATTAAGACATTTGTAATGGATTAAGTCCATGTGCAGCTTCCGCTCACAGAAGACGTGTGAGAGCATTGATACGAACTTGTTTGAACCCACGTATCTCATTAATGATAGTGTTTTCACTAACTTCATTTTCCAGTTGAGTACCTTTCACATAATTTCATGGCTTGCTGGAGGCAGCCTACACCCACTGAACAGCTAGAGAAGGTGTGGCGTTTAATGCTGAGCAGGGTATACTTCAGTGTGGTGAAAGACAAGCCGTTGGCATTGTTGTAGTTGTGAGAAGGAATGTACCACAACACCCAGAGAGGCTACACGGTTGGGTTAGGTTTAATTAAGATGCCTCCTGAAAGCTGGTTCCTGTTTCTTCATTTCTTTTTTTTTTAAATGATGCCGGCAGTTTGCAATAGAATAATCCAAAAATGAACTATTACAGTTTTTACACTGGTTTCCAATGATATTTTCTGAATTAGTAATCAAATGTAGTTTTAAATCTACCTGTTTTCTTTGTGACTCTTTAGAATTTTTAAATATATATATATATTATATTTTTAATGCATACTGAGGCTTTAAGCTAAAAATATCAAACAAGTGAAAGATCAAAGGAAGGTTTAAACTAACATTAAAACTAAATTCTTACAGAAAATTTAAAATCTGATTAACAAAGTTTCTTTATTTTTGGGAGGAGAAGTAAAAACATAACAGGGAAAAAAGGTCATTTAATATGACACTTATAATAAATCAAGCTGCCTATATTTATTTCTGGAAACTCTTTGAAATGCTTTGAAACAATTGTGGTCTGTTAGGTTAGTTTCTCATTAGAAGGAGAAGGTTCTAGTCTCTTGAAGTGTAGACATAGAAGTAGTATAGTGGTAGTATAAGACAACAGACATGAACAAAATGAGATGTATTTTTTCCTGGATGCTACAAGAGTCTTTATTTGCCCTTTTGTATAAAATAATATGTTTCTCTTATTTCTTGTTTTCTTTTGTGTGTGTGTGTGTGTCAGGCTGCTGAGCTGGCAGAGCACACAGCAAAGATCAGCCTACTCGAGGAGGCTAAGAAACGCAAAGAGGAGGAGGCCAACTCATGGCAGCTCAGGGTGAGAGCTTTAATGTGACCACAGTGCCGTTTACTCAGGCTCACTCAGCTGTTTCTGTCTGAAACAAGGACTGAATTAAATTATTGCAGACCTTCTATTTGCAGTTAGAAATTCTATAGCGTTGATTTTGAGCTGACTGACCTTCTCTGTCATCACCAGGCCCGTGAGGCCCAGGACGATCTGATTAAAACCAAGGAGGAGCTGCACAATGTGATGACGACGCCTCTGCCGCCACCACCTCCTCCCATGTACGACCACCTCATGGACGACAACAGTGACGACAATGCCAGCATGCACAGCGCTGACCTGCACGTGGAAGGCATCAACGACCACCGCAAAGAGGAGGACCGCCTGACTGAGGCCGAGAAGAACGAGCGCGTCCAGAAACAGCTGAAGGTGAAAACTAGCACCTCACACAGTCAGTCATTGGCGAGAGTGATGGCACACTAACACCTTTATCTGAGGTTATCAGCTGTGTTAAGAATAGAAGAGAAAAACAGTGCTGCGTGTGTGGTTCCTGCAATTCAGTTAAATAATCAGGAAGAATTACCTGCTTTCATGCTTATCTGTTACTGTGTTACCCAACATTAGGGTAGAAGATCTGTACAGACAGATTTAGAAATAGAACTTCCTCCTCAGGTAATCTTAGTCCGAATTAGCTGACAGCTTGAAACAAGTCTAGACAGAGAAGAGTTTAACTGGAACAAACAGTTTGGCTGTGAAAGCAGAGAAGGGCCTGGTGTTATTGAATGCATCAGAGTTCTCATTGAAGCCTTGATCTAACTTAAACACTATTAACACCATTAATTCTTCATTCTGTAAAAGCCAGTTCACAGCTGTAGTTTCAGTTAAACTTGAAAGATTACAAGTTTCTGCACCGCATTCATCCTGTTCTTACTTCTCTTTTGACCTTCACATAAAACCGAAGCTGTTGAGCTCTGGCTTGATTATCTATACTAGACTATAACATCAGGAAGTTGAAATCAGCGGTACCTTTGAATGTTTGAACTTGATGTTGGAGACCAGCTCAGTCACCTGATCGTCCTGTATCCTATCTCAAAGCTGCGTTGAGAAATGAGGGGCGTTTATGCAGGAAGCGAACTGCTCATCACGCATCGCTTTGACAGTTGGTCGCTAGCAGACGATTTGGGCTCTGGTTGTCAAGGCATTTACCACGCCATACTATATGACAGTTAACAGCATCTTTTGCTTCACTCACATCAATATTAACTAATATTAACTAAGTGCTCATCTAGAAGTTGCAAAAACTTCACATGGCCAGAGGTTATTTCACTCGTCATTGCTTCAAGTTGCTAGATGTGTCATTGACTTTCTGTTATTGCCGATTGCCCAGTTGATTGTCGCTTCCTGTGTGGAGAGCAAAAACTTTACTGCTCACTAATTTATATAAAGTCAGCTCTCAGGTTCCTGCCACAGAAACTGCCGCAGACCGATATATATTTTCTGTTTCTAATAGTCATATTGTTTTTAATGGGAAAACTACAAAAGTTTGGATGAAAATGATGAATCTGCTGAGAAAGTTTTCCAAATCTCTTGGAGATGCATGGAAATGTATTTGATTTTTGAGCCAAGTTTAACTTAATAATTACAGGAGATAATGGTGTAAAATTCTCAGGGCTGAAGAATATATTCAAGCCCTTTTTTCATTTTTTTTAATGGACCAATCTAGAAGTGATCAAGCAAACTGTAGTGATTTTACAGGAACGTCGTCACAGCCTGTTTTCAGCCATGAACTTCAGAAAGTGTCAGGAGAATCAGATCAGGACAAGTCGTCCTTTCTAACATGTGTCAAACAGCAGGAGACAGCTTGGACAAATGATCACTGCTGGAAACGCTGTATTCAATCTAGGCTACATCGTCACATACACTGGTGTTTTTATAAAGAAAAGAAAAAAAACAGAAAATGTTTATCGCTAAAGCAACACACATTGATAGAACTCTCGATAGAACTCTAATCATACAGAGATGTTGATGTCTCACGGCAAAAAAATAAGAGGGAAAAATGTTTGTCATCCTCATCCACGTGTAAATGCAGAATCTGAGTTTCCAAACTACTGTTTTGTGTAGGAGGTGCCAAACATGATGTGCATTTGCTAGACGGAAGGTTAAAGACTGATTAGCACATATGTCTTTGGGGGGGTATAAAGTTCGAGGCTATAGTGAGCTAAAATGGACACGGTGACTCATTCATGGAACTGTATAAGAGGCGGCATTGTTGGTTTTTGCCCTCAGATCTCATTCTTCTTCCTTTCCTCCACCCTCAGGCCCTGACCTCAGAGCTGGCTCAGGCACGTGATGAATCCAAGAATACCGCCAACGACCTCCTCCACAGTGAGAACGTGCGGGCTGGCCGAGACAAATACAAGACTCTGCGACAGATCAGGCAGGGCAACACCAAGCAGAGGATCGATGAGTTCGAAGCCTTATAAGGAGCCCTCGGAAAACGTACCCTTTCTGAATGGTCACTACATATCTCACTCTTCGACTGCCAGATCAACACACAACCAAACCCGGACATGTTTAACACATTGCTGCAGACTGAATTGAAGCAGTATAAGCAGAGCAGAAGCATCACTACAGAGAGAAAGAAACTCCTGCTGTCATGAGTGCCCTGCTGGATGCAGGGCTTTGCAAACCCTCTGAAGAAATATTAGTGCCAAAAACTTTCCCTTTTGTCTCTACTTAGTGTTTCATTTCCCGTTTGTGTATTTAATTGTGTAATTTGAGCAATTCAGACCAAAAATAGTCATCTGTTTTTAGAGGTGGGATGAAGTGGGGGATTAGCCAAATTATTTTAGTATTTTATGATGCGTACAGAGAGAATATAGTGCAAGCTTTGCTTATTTTTGATGGAGGACCGTTTGTTGTTCATGGCGACCACTCAGAAAGGGGGAACGAGCAGAAAAATAGTTTTTATTTTCCATCATATTTGAACACTTCCATTTATGTTTAATATTGCTATTCTGTAGGTTAAAAAAATTAATGCCTAGTTGGATATTTATACTGTATATGGGACATTTAAAAAGGGTATTTCATTTTGGTTTGTATATTTTTGCTATCTTCTGATAACAAAACATTCAATATGTTTTAAAGATTTTATATATTGACCAAACAATAACGGTCTTATGTTCCATATGTTTTCCTTTAGATCAATAAATTAAAGAAATATTGATTGTAAATTATTATTTTTTACCGTAGGAAATATATTCAGCTGCATGCTATTAAAATCACGTCAGAAGATCTCTAGCTATCTAGGTACTTTTATCATTATCATTATTATTATTAATAACATTATTATTATAGTTTTATTGCCATGCAGTTCACAGAACAGCGATGCATCTTTTTCTTGAGAGCAGGTTTAATATTTCTGTTTCTGTCTGTTCTGTGTCATGTCGCTGCAGAGTGAGAAATGAACATTTTTACACTCTAAAGTGGCCTTTGGTCGCCCTTCTGCAGGGGTCAGTCCCAGACAGCCGCTCGACACTTCTCAGCCAAGGTGCTTAGTCACCCAGAAAACAACAACAAAAAGATGCAATTCGGAAAACCTTTGGGGTTTTTTTTTGTTTGTGTTACATCTCCAGAGTTTCATGGACTGACCCAGATTGAATAAAACCAAGTCTCATGTTCTCCTCTCTGGACATTTATTAGTATTTACTGACTCAGAGCTCTGCTGGACTTTGTATATGAACAGGATTTTATATTGAGGTGTTTAAGAATTTGGCAATTAAAAAAAAATGATTACATGTCTGTGTGTACTTTGTAAAATATATATTTCAAAGTAAGTAGACACTTCTGTCCTCATGCTTTCTAGACCGGGATGTTTTAATGGGTTTGCCTTATGCCTCTGAGTCTTAGCCTTGCTAGCCCATGTGGGTTTAACCATGTAAAACCAAGTGTATCATATCTGATACAAATTAAAACTCATATATGCAAATTAATATAAATATATATATTTGTCAGGAGGTTCAATAAATCAATTTTCAAAAAAATATTATAATTTTCTGGTCATTCTGTCATTGTTCTGGGTTTACAGTGTTAAAGACAGACCAGGATGACAGGATGGATTACGTTGGAGGTTGTACCAACTTTCATGTTCTCCCAAACAACGACTGCTGGGTGCTGATGATCATAGCTTTGTCAGGCTTTGGCATTACAAAGCCACACTGTATGAAAAGGTAGTCCATGGACATGGGACTGGTTCTGGCTTAGGATGTTGTGAGATTGATGTTTGTGTTTTTGAATAAAAGAATTCACCAGATGTTCAATGAATTGAAAATGAAACTTGATGCAGAAATTTCCTTTCAAGATGAGCTCTAAAATGAAGTCAGACACACTGGTTACAGCTAAATGCTTTCCAAAAAGTAGAGTTTTATATTTATAATATCAGCATGTCAGGACTCTCTCACGTTGTTTTGATTCATATTCAGATACTTTTATTTTTACAAAAGCAATTCAGTGTGACAGAAAAATAAATAAAATGACAAAAAACGAAAACACACATGCACGTGGAAGCTGATTGACTTATTATCTGACAGCTGTACTACACATACACTGTAAATAGTTGAATGCTAAATGAGCGTCTTAAAGTGCTGGATGTAAACAAAAATAAATAAATAAATAAATAAATACAATGAGTCTGTATGCGGCCTGTGTCGCTGCTGGCGTCAATTTCTCCACCTGTTGACGCAGGCGAGCTGACGTCACGCTTAACCTGGTGAGCCTCCAGTTCCCATGGTGAGCCGGGAGAACGCGGAGTCAACAGAATTCCAGGTCAGTGACATCACTGCTCCCAGCACAGAAACCGCCTTATTCCTTCTCTTCTTCTGCTGCTGCTTTCACACGCCGCGTCCACAGAGACAAGAAACGTGTCTTTGTACTCGAAGAGCCGCTGTGTGGTGTGTCTGTGCGTGTGTGTCTGAAGCGACGCAAACCGCTTCCGCTCCACCGCCGGGTGTGGCTTCAGATTTCATTTGTCAGTAACGTTAGCTTAGCGTCTCTTCCACTAATTTTATTTGCATGGACGTTTTGTTGCTGCTCTCCTCTGACAGAAGAACATCGCATTTAGGAGGAAAATGGGTCTGAACGGATCCACGAATGTCAGCAGAGAGGCCTTGAACGGAAGTGGCATCACTTTAACTGTTTAACATTTATAAAGCAGTAAAATTGTACGTGCTAGCCGTCTGCAACTATGAAGCATCCACAAGCAGTTAATAAACAAATATATCGGTATGTTAGGTACAACCTCCATCAGGAAGCTGGCTTATCTAATCTTTCTTTAGCTTAAAACTGCAGCACAGGATATTATGAAGTAATTATTAAACAGACTTGGAGCCGATGGTTATAGACTGTAACTTGATTTTTAAAAGGAGCTTAGCAGATGGAAAAAAAAGAAACAGAAAGGTAAATAAATATGACAAGCATAAATAATGTTTCTATAAAGCAATAGATTTTTTTATAGTCTGTTCTATAATGCAAAAAATCTATTAATTAATCACAACTGCTTTGCTTGAGGTGGTGTATACATTCATAACGATTGTAGATGCTTCACAGGCGGCATTAAAGTGTTTCCACAGAGGACGTTCAGAAGTGAATCTCTGCTGTTATTGGTTCATTCAAGTCCCCATTATGGTGCCTCAGAGAGGCAGGAGGTGCTTTGATCCCACAGGCCCAAGTTCAGAGTGACGTCCTGGACGAGCAGCAATGGAGGACCTCGGTCTCCCTCCTTTTTTAGAAATGGGCGTCTTGTGGACGAGCTCTCTGCTGGCTCTCAGTCAGACGCCTAAATGAGACACGTACATACACAAACACACGAGTTATGTAAACACTCCCTCATGCTCGTTGAACAATGTTGAACAATTACACTTGCGTTCAAAAAGTCACACACCAAAACACACATAGCACACCTGAGGCCTGCGGACACAAGGAGACACACAGCCACAATGAGGTGTATTTACACTCTGAGTCATGTTTACACTAATGGGAAGGTGTGAAGGACGGTTAGTGGATCATTGCTATGTGGCCCAGTTTGCCATAAACGACAACGCAAGGTATCCAAAACAGATCCTCTCCTGACCCCTAGTGCCGAAATGAATGCACCTAAAAGGTTAAGGCTCTTGAAATGTGCCTTTAAAAATTATATTAAACACAATTTCAGCTCACTTAAATAAAAAATATTATTTTTTTTACTTATTTTATTTCGTTTTTATTAGTAGACCCTGACCAGCCTTTTCTGAAAAGTGTTGATGACATTCTCTTAAAATAGTGGTTTTCATAGCTCGCACCTCAGCCCACTTGATAACCACACCAGAAAAAAAAAAAGAAAGCCACCTGGAGGATTTCGAACAACATGATATTACTAGCAAATAAAGTAACCTTTAGTCAGAAGAAAACTTTTATTTCTATATTGAATTATTTATATTTGACATATATTAAAATATTTGTTCTGGGGACACTGGCAGAGATGAGTGTAGGTGTGAGTGGGTTGCAAAGTGGTTTGCAGGCCAAAGCAGCTCTAATATCGCCCCATATGATTTGATTTGCCAATTTAAATGAATAAAAAGGTATCAGGTGACACAGATCAGCTGATCTGGTAGGTTTACGCTTGTGCTCGACTATGTGACCTCAAACTCACGGACATACACCTTGTAAAGTACAGCTTTCAGAATCACTGTCCCACTTGTACTACACCACCTACTACGTATGAACTACAAAACACATGAACTACACAAGCCTGACGAAAAAAAAAGCGCTAGACAGACATTTAAGCAAGCTACAAACTCACCTTGACTCCGGCCAGCAGTTCTCCTCACTCCGCAGCACCTCCGTTTTGTCTTTCAGGCTGAAGGACACAGGAAGGAGATTTTATAGAAAACCACTTCCATATCAGCCATACAGGCAAAAGTCTTCAGCAATAATAAACTAATCTTTTCTGCCGTGCTCCATTTTACCTTCGGACACAGTGGATACCAGTTAAAGCACTGGAATGCCTTGTCTTCAAATCTCCAGCCGTCCAGAGGGATGAGGACTTCACCAAGAAAAACTTTCCTTTTCAGGGTACCTGAATGCCACACAGTCGCCTGTAGCCTCTTTCCAATGAGCATGTTGCGCTGTATGCCATACTGTGAAAAACATTTAAATTTTAGTGAATGCTGTTTACCTTCACAACATTTATTAAAATGTTTTCTTTAAACACTGATTAAGCACATGAGTGCAGGTAAAAGTCCTTGTCCTGGCCTTCTGGTAGTGTTGTGTAGACTATATAAAAGACACATTTCTATATAAAAACCCAATCGCAAAACAAACAAACTGTATATAAAAGATGGATGCTTGTTTGGTTTAAAAAACAAATAAACATTCTGCCCTGTAGAAATTCCTCTGATGGCTTTATGGTCTCAGGGCCTAGTTTTGAGTGTTATAGAGCAGCGGATGATATTATTTTTGTAAAATTGAATCAGAGTCAGAAAGGGAGATAGCCGGGGTACTGTGGAGTGTCCCCCAGTTTTAAGTTCTTGCTCTGTATTTCTGGCTTTAAAACACCCAGATGACTGTAGTGAAAAGGTTCAGCTCAAGTCTTCACAGCAGGACTTTACATCAATTACTGAGCGACATCACAGTGGCTATGTCCATCTTTTATATACAGACTATGATGGCATCTCAGAGTAGATCATATTTTTGATGCACCAGATAAAAAACTTTCAAAGGAAGAATTTACTGCCCATGAAATCAATAATTTTGTTTCCATAAGTCATGAGCATGCATATATGCATGCTGCAAGTTTTATTAAACTGATGACGCATAGAGACATCCAAAAATAGCTGAAGAGGTTCTTTGCTTTTACCTTCAAAACTTCATTGTAAACCGGATCAGTCGTGTTCTTCTTCACTGACGTCTTCAGTTTGCAGCTCTTGTCCGGCAGCACGTAGATTTTCACGTATCTGTGCAGCAGAATACAAAATAAAAAAATGCTGTTGAAGCTTTGATGGAAAATCACAGGAAATGCGCTCTGCCTCTTTGTGTTGCACAGAGTGACATCAAACGTGTCCTTACGGATGACACTTCCTCTTCTTGCTGTCTCCGTAGGACAGGTTTCTGCAGGTGCCGACTGTGATCTCCAAACGGGAGGTGTTGGTGTTGAAGGCCAGAGCCAGCTCCAGTTCTCCGGTCACAGAAACGCTCTCAAAGCCCAAGTCTGTGCTGGTGCTGCTGCAGCTGCCCTGAGGGAGCCAAATACAGGTTATAGCATCAATTTTACACTTCAGAGGAAAAGGATGAGAGAGGTGTGAGAGAGGGTAATTATAAGAGGGGATTTTGTGATCAGGGCTGTTATTTCTGAATATTTCAACCACCGGATGTTGTTTGGGGATTTTATTTAATTTCTTTTCTTTCTTTTTTTTTTAATGAAAATCAGCTGTGACTTACTCTCTTCCCTTCAGAGTGATCAGAACCGAATGAAGTCTCGTCCTCTGCCCCGGTGGAGGAGCCCTCCTGGTCGCTGTCTTTGCTTTTCTTGAACAGGTTTGGAAGACTTGGGACTTTGAAAAGCTGCACAAAGAAAGAGAGTCATTTTCTTTACTCTGCTTCTGGACATTTTTTATATGATATAAAACTAGAAAACATCAAGGAGCAGTTTAGGCACAAAAAGCAAAAAGTCGCACTCTCTCTCAGATGTGAGGTTGCTGATGTTATTCCCTGTCATCACCAGCAGGTGCTGCTAAAGGCCCTGAATCAGTCCCCCGTTTTAT